AATCACTGTATTATTTAATGACACTACTACATTAGGGCATATTCGTCTTTTAAAGAATGTAATGTATTGAGTTTTTGTTAGATTGATAATCATATTATTTTTAGTACACTGTCGTATAATCTGAGCGAGCGAAATTCAGATTTCGACTATCTTTCTTCTCCAGCGCAAGATTTCTATGCAGAAAACGCAGCCAAGTAATACATTACACAATGTTTCCAATCCCGAGCCCGAAGTCGTCGTCAGCAGCAAGTCATATTTTCGAGAAGGTTTCCAATCCGGAGACGAAGTCCGTAATCAGCCACTTCACCAACGTTCCTATAATCCAAATTCAAAGCAAAAGTCAGAATTTGCATAACGTTTCCAATACCAGAGTCAAATTCACTGTCAGGAGCCAAAGTAACATTTTCAACAATGTTTCCAATCCAAACCTCAACATCCAGCACCAAGCTCCAAGCCCGATTTCCAACATAGGAAATCAAAGCAAAAGTCGTAAGTTGCATAATGTTTCCAACTCCGAAACCAAAGTCGACGTTCGAAGCAAAAGTAGAATTTTCGACAAGGTTTCCATTCCGAATCCGAAAATCCAGGACAACACCTTAAGTCCGGTATCCAGTACTACAAATCAAATCAAGTCATGATTTGCACAACGTTTCCATTCTCGAAGCCGATATCACCGCCAGAGCAGAAAGAGAAGAAATCGACAAGGTTTCGAATACAGCTACCATCCAGCCGCCACGAGCCGAGATGAAGCTACTTCCAAGGAAAACAAACAAAACCGACTATGTTTCAGATTTCCCACATCGCAGAGCCGCAGTCGAGCCAAGCCAGCCAAATTACAAAAATCGACGATGTTTCCAATCCATCAGCTAAACGCAGAACGCCGAAAAAGCGCCCCGTGGTGATGGAGACGAGATGGACCACGTCGACGACGACCGATGGGAAGCCGACAACGAGCCAGCAGCCGCCTGCCCGAAATCACGAAATCGACCAACTTTCCAATGGCCCCCGTCCTTGCAGGGAAGCACCGATTAAGAAGAGGAAGAAGAATGGTAGAAAAAACCCGGATATCAACCGCGGATCAAGGCCGCGAATCCCCTATCGCGATGGATCGTCAACTGTGGGCATCTGCAGTTATATAACCGAATCCAAGTATCCGGCCAGTATCTATGTGGGACGCTTAAAATTTTAGTTGCGAACTTTAAAGCCTCTATAGTCATTATTACAGTCTTTCGCACATTTTTAACCTATTTGTTAGAGCCAATTTATGTTTAATANTCAGCAAAAGATTCTTCCTACAAGTGGACGCCTCCCGAATGGGACTGGGGGCGATCTTATTTCAGAAATCGGAGGACGACAGGTTAATAGTATCCTACGCTAGTGCCACTCAAACACCAACAGAGCAAAAACACCATGTGAACGAATTGGAGGTCTACGCCGCCATATTCGGCATCAAAAGATATCAAGCATACCTAGCCGACAGCCAATTCACCCTCATAACAGATAGCAGATCGCTATACTGGCTCGAGAAAAATAGGGACACCAAAGCCAAACTTACCCGATGGTCACTGTTATTACAAGAGTACAACTTCGAAGTGCAACATTGTCCAGGTCGAGAAAATCAGGTAGCAGACTTCCTAAGTCGTAACGCCAGCGAACCTCATCCCGTCGATATGACGGATGAATCAAGGATGCTACCACCCGAGCCCATTTGCCAGATTAAGCATAACGAGCTGTACACCGAGGTCCAAAATTCACAGGCACACTCTCGCAGAACACAAAGGGACATCCTCAAATGGCACCGCATCCGCATGAATGGCCCTCAGAACAACAACGAACGTAAGTTCCATACTAGCTACACAGTCCGCAATAACAATCTACACAAGTCACAAGGGGAAGACAACCTGTTAGTAGTACCTAAGCGCAAGTTGAAAAAAGTAATCCTCGCCTATCACGACGTGCTAGAAGAAGCTCATCCCAGTATAGACGAAACTCACCGGAAGATTACTCAATTATACCATGCCAAAGGACTACGCAAGCAAATTGTCGAGTACGTCAACAGATGTTTGCTTTTTACAGATGCCACTCTGTAAAAAGTCGCCAAATACAGAAGGAAGCCCCACAAAAGCCGCACACAGCGCAATCACCTTTCGAAGTAATCAGTATAGATGTGTTAGGACCCTATCTAGTTACCCCACGGGATAACAAATACGTTCTTATCGTCGAGGACCTATTCACTAAATGGACTGAAGCCAAGCCCGCATCAAATTCCGAAGCCGCCACTATTTGCCAATTCTTAGAGGATGAGATCTTCACAAGATACGGAGACCCTAAAGTAATCATCTCCGACAACGCGACAGTGTTCCAAAGCCAGAAATACCTCAACATGTGTCAGCGCAAGCAAATTCAGCCATATCACACCGCCATCTACTTCCAACGAGAGAACCCCGTCGAACGAAAAGTTGCCGATTTCAAAACCATTCTGCGAGCCCTCATGCACAATCAACAACGACGACGAAACTGGGATCAACAAGTACCACGTGCCCTAGCAATACAGCGCCGACGCAAGAACCGAGCTACAGGAGAATCACCGGCAACCGCCCTCCTAGGTTACGAAGCGGCCGCTCAAGGGGACTGGGAAATTCCAGAATTCAAAAGAAGACGAAAGCGACCCCGAGAAGACGCGAGGTTGAGACGCCAAACCATCATCGCTCGACAATTAAACTTTAATCAAGGCACCTATCCAGGTCGAGACGATGAACCTACCATCACCTTTCAAGTCGGTGACATGGTAATGGTAAGAGAGCACAACCCGCCGGATCCTTTCGCACCTACATGGGCAGGACCGTTTCCAATAGCCGTCCGAAACTCGCCACAAGTGTACGAGGTAGACAAGAATGGAAGGCAATTCAAATATCACGTCGATCAACTTCGACCGGCACCATCAGGGAACCCTCCGTTGGAAGAGGACGATTCCAGCGACGAAGAAGATGACGATAATGGCTCAGCATCAAAACAAATCACAGTCACCGCAGATGTACACGCCGCCCCACCTACTCCTATTAAATTACGTATCCGCAAGGTACCAGGCGAAGATGGAAACCGTCGCCGTTACCAAATCATCAATAATCAGCCAATCGACCAAATTCAAGTCGTCGAAACCCAAAGTTCACTCGACGAAAGGGGGGAGGTGTCGTATAATCTGAACGAGCGAACTTCAGATTTCGACTATCTTTCGAATCCAAGTTCCAACGCCCGGAGCAGCGCTCCAGTACAAGCCATCTATGTAAAACCTGAAGCTATAACAAACATATTCCACAATGTTTCCAATCCCGAGCCCAAAGCCGCTGTCAGAGGAGAAAGTAAAACTTTCACTCATGTTTCCAATCCAAACCTCAAAATCCAGCACCAAGCTCCAAGCCCGATTTCAAGCATAAGAAATCGAAGGCAAAGCATTAAATTGCATAACGTTTCTAACTCTGAAGCCGAAGCCGCTGTCAGAGGGAAAAGTAAAACTTTCACCCATGTTTCCAATCCGAACCTCAAAATCCAGCACAGAGCTCCAAGCCCGATTTCAAGCATAAGAAATCGAAGGCAGAGCATTAACTTACGCAATGTTTCGAATCCTGAAGCCGAAGTCGCTGTCAGGACGGAAAGTAAGATTTTCACCCAAGTTTCCAATCCAGACCCAAGAATCCCGGACAACGTCCTAAGTCCGATATCCAGTAACACAAACCAAGTCCTAAGCCATAATTTACACAAAGCTTCCATTCGCCAAGCCGATATCAATACCAGGGCGAAGACGGAAGAAATCGACAAGGTTTCGAATCCGGCTACTATCCAGCCGCCTCGAACCAAGAAGCAGCAGTATCCAAGGAAAACAAACAAAAACACCTATGTTTCAGATTTCCAGCATCGCAGAGCCGCAGTTGAGCCAAGCAAGCCAAATAACGAAAATCACCGATGTTTCCAATCCACCTGCGAGAAGCCGCAAATCATCAAAAATGCGCCCTCTGGTGATGGAGACGAGTTAGGCCACATCGAGGACGACCGATGCGAAGCCGACAACGCGCCAGCAGCCACCTTCCAGGGAGTCAAGAATTCGACCCACTTTCCAATGGTCCCCGGCCTTGCAGGGAAGCACCGGTCAAGAAGAGGGAGAAAATTCGTAGAAAAAACCCGGGAATCAACCGCGGATCAAGGCCGCGAATCACCTACCGAGATGGACCGTCAACTGCAGGCATTTGCAGTTATTTAACCGGATCGACGTATCCGGCCAGTCTCTGTGTGGGACGCTCCAAATTCTAGTTGCGACATTAAAGCCTCTACAGTCAATATTACAGCCTTTCGCACACATTTAACCTATTGTTAGAGTCAGATTTATGTTAATAAATATATATATATAACCTAACCTACCTCTTATCTATAAAAGAAAGATAAAACGTCGCCCGGGCATTTATTTCTGACCCGAGGCAGACACAAATCACGAGCCATTAGCCAGCCCTTTCATAAGTGTTAGATATAAGCTCTAGTGAAGTGCATTCAACAGCCCCTATAGTTATCAGAACTATATGAGCATAGTGTTTTACCTCTAGATATATATAATTATAAGAATTATATATACAAACTACCTAATTAACGGTCAATTTTCACCTATCTTTCCAATACCGATCCTATATCTCGTATCATTTCAATCCAAATTCCCTTTGAGTCAAACCTCTCATACATCCTATCAAAGGCCCCCATAGACGCTAAGGTTTACCGGAAGGCCGGCCTTCCGGTCTTTAAACCGGAAGGCCAAACCTGTACTCACGGATGAGCCACAGACTATAAGGTTTCATGAAGGTAACCTTTCCGGCTTCTATACCAGAAGGCCAAAACATGTACTCTCGACGTCGGAATACACACTACGTTTTTACAGCGGGTTTGCGTGTTATTTTTGTTATTTTTACAGTCAGTATTTTCAAAAATTCGTTTTGCCAACATCCGATCGATAATAAAAAATGGCTTCCGAAGAAGACTTGATACTGATAGGCTTGGCAGTCGCTTTACTACCCAATAATAATCATAATAAAAAACAAAAAATAAAACGTAAACGTTCGAAATGGGTGAAACAGTGGTTACATAGGCAAACACATAACAATCTCATTAACGAACTGCGGTTAGAACCAGATAACTACCGAAATTACTTGCGGATGAAGAAATATATACTGAGTTGCTAGGGCTTGTTTTTCAAATAATTCAGAAAGAAGATACTATAATGCGACAAGCGATTACTCCTCATGAAAGGTTAACTAGTACTTTGAGATTCCTAGTCACAGGAAGAAATTACGAAGATCTTAAGTTTTCAACTGGCATTTCTGCACATGCTCTAGGAAAAATAATACCAGAGACACGTAGAGCGATATTTGATGTTCTTCAGGAAAATTATTGCAAGGTAAGTCGAATAACATTTTTCTTTATTAAAAAAACAGATAAATATTATAAGGAATCATTATTTATTATGTATTATGTGGATTAAATGCTCCGTAATAAGAACTTGCTGTTTGTGATTGATCCTGCCAGGAAGGCGGTTGATGATATTCAGAAGCAGTTAAAACCGAAGTTGATGCAATCTCTCCATGACGTTGAGGCAGCAGCCCTGATGTCGTATACATCGCGTTACTTTGTTGAGAGTTGGTTACTGTAATAAAATAAAAATAATAATACACCATAATAATCAGAATATTTTGAATCATACTATTAGTGAGTGGTTGTGATACAATCCAGGATTGCCCATTTAACGATCCACATTTCGCTTCAAAGATGGCATCATTTATAATTCTTTGACAGTATGTAGCCATCATAGGCGGTAAGGCATCTAATTCTTGCCCAACGTATACACCGTAATTCGAATATTTATTTGGGCTTTGTAATTTGTCTGCGACTAATTGTAATACTGTTTCTTGATGATTTAATGGTTCTGTAGCTTGGCGCTTAGCTACTTTGCTACGTTTCCTTCTTATGGAAGTAGCTGCCGAACTCAGCGATGGTGTAGTAACAGAAGAAATAGGCGATTGCACTGATTCTTGGTCTTGAGAAATTTCTGGCTCTGAACCGTCTTCCTGCCGTGATGCATTATCATTTTCTGTGTCTTCATGCTATAAATTCATGTTTCTTATTTTGATTTCTAAAATACATTACTAATCTAATAATATTTGTTTTTGCTGTTTCCACGCACAAGACAAGAGTGGGAACAAATAGGACTAGATTTTGAGAATAGATGGCAGTTTCCAAACTGTTTAGGTGCAGTTGACGGGAAGCATGTAAGAATAGTACCTCCAGCAGGAAGTGGATCATACTACTACAATTATAAACAATTTCACAGTATAGTATTGATGGGTATTGCAAATAGTAACTACGAATTAATACTGTTTGATGTGGGTACAAATGGACGAGTATCTGATGGTGGTGTTATTAACAATACATCTTTTTACAAAGCATTATTAAATGAAAAATTAAATTTACCTCCAATAAACCATCGTAATAATCTTCCATATGTATTCATTGGAGATGAAGCTGTTGCTCTTCGAAAGGATTTTTTGAAACCATNCCATCACCTTCCAAGTCGGTGACATGGTAATGGTAAAAGAGCACAACCCGCCGGATCCTTTCGCACCTACATGGGCAGGACCGTTTCCAATAGCCGTCCGAAACTCGCCACAAATATACGAGGTAGACAAGAATGGAAGGCAATTCAAATATCACGTCGATCAGCTTCGACCGGCACCGCCAGGGAATCCTCCGTTGGAAGAGGACGATTCCAGCAATGAAGAAGATGACGACGATAATGGCTCAGCATCCAAACAAATCACAGTCACCGCAGATGTACACGCCGCCCCACCAAGTCCAATCAAATTACGTATCCGCAAGGTACCAGGCGAAGATGGAAACCGTCGCCGATACCAAGTCATCAATAATCAGCCACTCGACCAAATTCAAGTCGTCGAAACTCAAAGTCCACTCGACGAAAGGGGGGAGGTGTCGTATAATGTGAGCGAGCGAACTTCAGATTTCGACAATCTTTCGAATCCAAGTTCCAACGCCCGGAACAGCGCTCCAAGGCAAGCTCTCTATGCAGAACCTGATGCCATAACAAACATATTCCATGTTTCTAACTCCGAAGCCGAAGTCGCTGTCAGAGGACAAAGTAAAAATTTCAACCATGTTTCCAATCCAAACCTCAAAATCCAGCAACAAGCTCCAAGCCCGATTTCTAGCATAAGAAATCAAGACATAAGCATTAAATTGCATAATGTTTCTAACCCCGAAGCCGAAGTCGCTGTCAGAGGAGAAAGTAAAAATTTCACCTATGTTTCCAATCCAAACCTCAAAATCCAGCACAGAGCTCCAAGCCCAATTTCCAACATAAGAAATCGAAGGCAAAGCATTAACTTACATAATGTTTCTAATCCTGAAGCCGAAGCCGCTGTCAGGAGAGAAAGTAAGAATTTCACCCAAGTTTCCATTCCGAATCCAAGAATCCCGGACAACGTCCTAAGTCCGATGTCCAGTAACACAAACCAAATCCTAAGCCATAATTTACACAAAGCTTCCATTCGCAAAGCCTATATCACTACCAGAGCGAAGAGAGAAAAAATCGACAAGG